TTTTTGATATCGAAACTACTAGTCAATGTGCCACAGTTCCTATTGCTTTGCTATCACTCCAGTAAACATAGTTGACCTTTCCCCCCTGCAACTTGTTGCTGCAAAGCCGTAGTAACATTAAATGGGTCCTCAATCACACCATAAACTCACTGTAAAGAACTGTCCATACCAACTCAATATGTCAACAGACGTATGTAACAACTGAACCAGCAAGAAATCACCAGTGAACCACTTACTGACCTGGCTCTACTCAGTCCAATTAGCCTGGCTCTACAATGAGGCCACAAACCACCGCCTGATGGCTGTGCAGTCTTCTAACGCCATTCTCATGGTATGCTGGTGTGTATACACAAAATACATGGATATCCTTCTGTAACATTCCAGCATTATGTATCACAGGATGTTAAGCAAGGCGTGCAAGACTAAATACAATGAACTACACACATGAAAAAAACACCAATGTCAAATGCAAAAGTGCTATATTGCACTTCACAGAAAGTTGACGAGAATGGTGGTGTTACAATGCTTTCATTTTCAGTTCCAGACAATTTAGAAAAGTTATTATTTTTAAATTAACACAGTTGTACTATTAAAAAAAAAAAAACAAGGTTTGTCACAACACTACTACTACTGTACATGTCTACTTCCCACTTCCGTTTGTGCCTGAAAGCTATGTTCCCACTCCTACCCTGAATTCCATAGCTACCACAGCACCCCACTGCACCGAAGCCATTGATTACTGCACATATACTACTAGTCTAGAATTAAATACGTATCCGTAGGTTAACCTCAGTGTGGGGAAGTCTAATTATGCAACACAATGTGGTATTGGCCCAGTCTCTACCACAAGCATTTATGATGTGGACTGGAGATTCCTGGACACATTTCTAATCTTCACCTTGGTGGACTTTGTCAGCTCTGTTCCTGTCTGGGTGATGGCAGTTGATTAAAAAGCCATATACTATAAAAAATACATCATGTCATTTACACATTACTCATCTCTCTCTTTTAGGAAAACAGTGTAACCCAACCATGTCGTGATGTTGGGACCATTATGGTTGGAACACAAAGATTATGCCCTTGAATTGTAAATTATAGAGTATGTTGCTAGAATGAGCCAACATGTGTCATTAAATGTAGTGTTGGTGCTATCTGCCTTCCTCCCATTCTTTTTATAACCCACTGTGGACACTGCAGAGAGGATTTAGAACACACCCTGGTTGTTTACCAAAGTCAAAAAAGCATTCTACACACTATGCACTCCCTGAACAACATACTGGAAAAGTAGTAGTAGTAGTAGTAGGACTCCCAGTAGCAGTAGTAGTAGTAAAAGAACAGTACTAGGATTTTTTCATTTGGAATCATTTGTTGATTGGGCATATACTTTTTGCAAGCAACATGTCCATTATTTAGATTCATGACTCAGCATGACATTAAATATATGAAATACTGTACAGCTTTATTGTGTAAGGAGGATATGATTTGAAAACATAGCTGAACACCGTCCATTTACTCTTGAAGAGCTTGGCCCTGTTCTAGTAGCGTCTTATTGCCAAAAGCACTGAGTAGCAAATGGATGAGTGAGACAGTTAGATTTCTGTAAAGAAGGCGAAAGCCAGGCACCCAGCAGATTTAGACAGCTTTACAGCACAATAGATGAGACAAGATTATTGTTCACTGATCTGGGTAAAGCAGCTAGCACATTCATCACTATGTATAAAAGACATAATATGACAAATACACTAGAATAATGGCTCTGAGAAACACTACAAGAGAAATGAAAATCAAAATAATAAACCATATAAAAATCTATTGAAACCTGATCAAATAAATCATACAATAATTGCAATAACTTAAAACTTCTTTTTAAAAAATCCCTACACCTGCCACACAACAAGCATCGTTATGATCTTGCTATGGGACAATGACCTACTGACCACACGTCCGACACACATGCTCCTCCCCTCAACTCTAATCCATGCAGTTACTGTCTCCCGTGGGACAGCCAAAAGGGAGGAATCTGTAGCATTTCCTTCCAGAGTTGCCTGCTGTGCATGTTAGGGCGGTGTGTTGACTGTTACATTTAGCAGGCGATGTAAATGCAAGAGGCATGTTGTAGCACTACCATGACAGTTTGACTGCTTCAATTCATCTGACCTACTTTCCCCCTTCCACTCTTCCCCTCCTCTTCCCCTCCCATGTGCCTGGTCTGGGTAGAGGGGAGAGGCGACCACCAGGGTAGGAGGCAGGCGGATACATGAGCATGACAACAGCCTACATGCCTGCATATCCTACTGTCTGGGAGAACAGTGGCTATGTGCAGCTACAAATTCATTATTTATGTGTATTGTAGATATAGTAGATTCCCACAACCAGGCATTTTTCTTATGACATGATTCTTCACATTAACAACATGGATTCTGAAGCACACACAAGTCTGTTAGACATGGCACGTCCACATTGCTCCTGTCTGGTTATTTACATGAGCCAAACAGATCAGATATGCAACTAAAAAGGCCATTGACCTAAATTTCTACAGTTCCTTTGTTGCACTGGGTTTATCAGTGACGGGCGCTCACTATACTGAAATATACTCAATGAATTAAATACATTTTTGCAGTTTCATACAGCAGGCAGATGCATTTATATTATATGTTGTATCTAAAATTAAGAGACATGTGGATGCGCGTCTTCACAACGTGGCTCTTTGTGAACATGTCGCCACGCTTATAATTATTACATTACAAAGGAAATCTCAGCATCACCCACTCACGTTTGCAATTAGCCGTGTTATTTGACTAACAGTGAAGCCATTTGTTCTCTACGTACCTGGCCCCTCTCAAAGTTTTCCTTCTCCAGTTCCAGACTGTTGGCCCCTCCTGTTCGTCTGATCACTTTGGGAATAGCGTTGGGTACTTGCTGCATGGAGCTCTTCACTCGATCCATTGTCGTGTTTACTGTGACCAAAAATACGGCGAACCGAAAACGTATAATAAATGTTAACAAAGCTGTACACAATACAAATGTTGCCAGGCCGATCTAAGCAGCTATGGCGGGCAACAGTCCATAGTTTGATGGACTTGTCTGCTTCTCTCGCGTTCCCTGTGCAAGCATTTGTCCACTAAATGACAGGAGCCGTCTGAACCAAAACGCAAGCGTCAAGTGGCAGCGGAACTGGAAACAACCCATTTTCCGACTCAGATTCTTTCAAAATAAATACAACTTCGACCATTGCTCATTTTAAAGGGGAACAAACATGATGTAAAACTGACTTTCGACCATGCGGTAATGGTGTTTAATAACCTCAATTACTTCAAAAGTTCAGAATCCTTGAAAAACTGCCCTGCGTTTGAGTGTTAAGTGCTCAGGAAATGTTTGTTTTCATCTACCCCCCTATCCTGACTGACTGTAACTGACTCTTGCCTGTTCGGAAACAAATCACACCACAGTAGAATAACTAAACTTATTTATATATATATATATATATATATATATATATATATATATATATATATATATATATATATATATATATATATATATATATATATATATATATATATATATATATATATATATATATGTAAAACCAGAAATATAGAGAAATACAATAAATCATATTTTACCTTATGGAACTTACAGAATAATTGTAACCCTCAATTATATTTATATATTTAAGTGTATTTATAAACCAATAGGTATAAATATTAACATGTACATGGTCAGTGTGTGTGCGCATGTGTCTGTGTGTGTATGCATCGACGTATATTGGATTGTGTTCAGATTTAGGGACTTTTTCTTTCCTGCACTCATAAAAGATGAGTTTTGTGTTGTTTTCTGTAAATAGTTCTGCCATTTTGTATCCTGTTTAAACTTCAGCTTAATCACCTTTGGTCTATAGAATAACCTTAGTGATATGCATTAACTGCATAATTTTTTGTGTTAAATCATTATAATACGATGAATGATTATGTTAATTGACCGAAGAAAATAAACAACAACAAACCGTCTAATTGCATAAATGTACATTATTTTCTGTTGAACTAATAAGAATGCCAAGTTTTTTTGAGCAATAAAACATTTTGATTAAATGCTAGATAAAAAGTACCATACTGGAGAGTTTTAAATCTCGTCTTAAGATCCACTTTTACTCTCTGGCCTTTAACGCCACGTGAGTTGTGTGGTCCTCTGTGTCTTTTATTTATTTTTAATGTATTTTATATTGGTTTTATTTTTTTTATTTATTGCTATTCTATGATTTTGCTCTTATTTTATTTTACTGGTTTTATTATTTTAAAACTAGTATGATGAAATCTCAGCATTTATTTTATCATTTTATTATTGTTGTTATTATTATGTGTTTGTGCAGCACTTTGTAAACTGTTTGTAAAATGTGCTATATAAATAAAGTGGATTGGATTGGATACTGTGGGACATGCAAAACAATATGGTGATGACCCAACACCACTAGAAAAGATAAGTGCATCTTTGGTCAATGGTCAAGGCTCCCCCGTGTGGCCTTCTGCAAGTGAGGACTGATGAAAGATTATAGTTAGATTGTGAATAATGTATAATAACCGATTATTACAATAACAATATTGCACCCACAGATTAAACACTGGTTTGGTTGTAAAGTTTATTCAATAGACTTACATTTTTTTCCTGTTTCTTTTTTTTCTTTAATAAAAATATCACAACAGAAAAGCCAACACAACCACACGTGCGTTGCAGTTATTATCATGCTGTAATTGTATAAAAAAATTTATTTGATAATATTCTATGTGTAGCCATATTCATATTTCACAAAGTATTCTATTGAGCTTCGTCCTAACAAATCTTTAGGCCTGCTGTCATCAATAGTAATAACCACAGAATGTATAAAGAAGTCTTTGCCAATCGAAATAAAAGGTCATTGTTCATAATAAATATTCACTGTGCGCATAATCCATGTTGCCAAAAGCCCGCAGGGAGGACAACATTGAAACCTCGCGAGATCAGCGCAGTAGCGGAGTGCTGGGGCTTGGTCTTGAAGTTTTCAGATGCATCGGTAGATGAATCATAACAGCATCAAGATGTCGGGGCGATCAGGCCGAGCAGAAACGCGAAGTCGGGCTAAAGACGACATTAAAAAGGTTTTGGCGGCCATCGAAAAAGTGCGCAAATGGTATGTAATCTATCTGTGTGTAACAACAACATGGTGGAAATAGTATTTGTAGAGGGTCTGTTATCTGCTGCCGCTGCGCCGCTCAACAAACTTCAGTCGGGAAAGTTGACTGATTGACGGAGCCGCTGTCCAATGGCTGCGCTGTTTAGAGACAAGAGGCGGGACAAAGGAGATTTCCGCTGAGAGTTGTCAATATGGCTACACTTGAGCCTCTCATGCTGTGCGCTATAAATGACACGACTGCCCTGTAGCCCGTGAAAGGACATTACAGACACCTCATTTAAGACATTTGACATTTAATATGTTCAAAATATGGCTACTGATCGTCTAAGACTCACGGATAATACTTTAACTTACTGTAATTCATATTCTTAGATAAAATCATGACTAAATTCTACTAAGCCTATCGCATCTTGTCGTATTGGCTACTGGGTCTTAAATAGAGATCTGTGAGATTTGATGTTGGACAATGTGTATTAATTACTGGTTATTACTCATTAAACAGGGAGAAAAAATGGGTGACAGTAGGAGACACATCCCTGCGCATATTCAAGTGGGTTCCTATAACAGAAACAAAACAGGTAAGGGTAGTAGTAAAACAATAACAGTACTTGGCCTAATAATCCATTTTAACATCTCTTTCCTTATAGATTTATCGCACCAAATCCACAGGTGGAGAAGTTAGAGGACTAAAAGATGTAGTGTTGGAAAACACAAATTCTCTACTGGATTTTGGTGGTATAGTTTGTTGCTATTCACAGTCCAGTCTACTAGCCCATATTAAAAGTGCAGTGAAATTGTTTAAAAATGTAGTATCATTCATGAATGTTGGTCTGTCATTTCAGATGAAAATAGCAATCAGAGTTTTCTGTCTGATGTATACCAACCTAAGATGGATAATAGCAGCAGCTCCAGTTCACAACAAGTGAGCCCACCACATACCAGTCTCAGGACTGAGGACTCCCAGCCTCCAATGCTGGGTCAGGAAACTGTGGATGGTACGCACTGGTCTTTGTCATACAATTTTTTATAGTTAGGTACGTATAGATTGTTGTCCATAGTTATGTTTTCTAAAGGGGACTGGGGTCATCCAGTGGGGTTTACTGGGGTAAAATAAACTGAAAACATTTTACAAAAAATAAAATAAAATATTGTACTATTAAGCTATGTCAGGATTGTTATCATTTTCCTGCATTAAATCATCGTGAAGATGGTATGACACTTGTTTAATTAATGTTCGACTTCAGAATTATACAAAGTGAAACTGGAGGTACCTACATTTAAAAACTAATAAAAATGGATTTACAAATAAAAAGAGAAGTGCTTGTCTTTTTGTGATTGCAGAGCCAGTCACTTCTAGACGAGAAGGAACGGATGAACCTCCTACGCTTATTAAAGAAGACCTTCTTTCTTCTGTAACTGTAAGACGGAGTGCTCCTACCCCACAGGTTAAACACTGGATTGATACTGAACACTTTAGTAGTTTTTGTCTGTTTCATTGTTTAACCTAAATGTTTTAACAGGAAGATGTGGATGAAACAGGTGCACCCCCATTGAAGAAGATTTGCACTGGAGAAAACTCTGTTCTTAGATAGTTAAATCAAGTTTTTGTTCCCTGTATCTTTTCTTAAATGTCTCACTAAGCTAAAAATTAAAATATATATTAGGTAAATAGTAATACTGAACATTGTATAAGCAAATTCAAAGTAGGCTATACAATTTTTAGACATTTCATTTAAAATAATTCCATTAGATACACTGTCCTTTTTTCTTGTTATTATGTTGTTTATATATCAAGTAGTTTGTCAAATGTAGTCAAATATGTGGTGCATTTGAGTTTTGCATGTTTACTTAGCATTAGTAGGTAGAAATCATTGATATGAACCCAACTCATTTCATTATGTATACATTTCTTCACAACATTCATGGTTATGACAAGATTACATACTGTTAAGTATTTATTATTTGTCTCTGTATTTAAATAAACATGTCCAAATAAACACTGGCTTTTCTTTATTTTCGTAAATTAAAAGGGACATTGGGCAGATTGACAAACTGATCTGTAAAGCTGGTCATGTGATCAACTGTTAGGCTGATTGATCAGCTTGACTGGCTGTGAGCTGGGGACATTTGTCACAGTGAGGGACAAGAGGACACATGGGCGCGCTTGCTCACCCACTGCACCAGACTATAGAGGGACAGATAATACTCCCTACAACTGTACAAAAACTCACCCATTGCACCAGACTATAGAGGGACAGAGGAGATCATTCTCCAACAGGCTCCTACAGCTCTGCTCAAACAGTGAGATACAGGACTACATTCATACCGTACTTCATACAAATGTACAACAATTCACCTATATGTAACAGATAATACTTCATACAACTGTACAACAACTCACCTTAATGTAACAAATTATACTCCCTACAACTGCACAATAACGCACCCTTTTGTAACGGACAATTGTATGGCCTGACAATCATCAAATTGTTGCACTGCCTTCCTATGACCTCTTGTATAGCTGAGATTTGATATTTTATTATATATTTATATTTTTGTCTCTAGTGAAATATTTTTGCTACTTCTTTAGAATATATTATTACCATTTATACATATATTTTTTACTCTTTGTTATTATATTATAGTGTGATGAGTCAGCTACTGTGTCCAAATAATTGCCCTTGTGGATCAATAAAGTTTGTCTAAGTTGTTTACACTTTAGTAAAACTCAACCTCAATAAAAGGCTATTCAGTTTAACTCTTAAGACATAAAATCTAGTTGTGGTCATGATGCCTGGCCTCTTAGTTGTGGTCACCTGACCTTCATCCAGTGATGCATAATCAACAGTAAGGCGGGGCAAATATTTAGGGGCTGGAACTTAATGAAAATAGGCAGCCGAAAAAAGCCAATCAGTGACAGGTGCCTCTTAATTTTCCGAGGGCGCTAAAGCTTGTGGACCAATCGCGGTAGAGGGTGGGCGAGGCGAGTCGACGACGCTGCCTGCTGCCGGGGAAACCGAGTGGTGGGTACGCGAATTGTGCCGGTGGACTGAGAAACTCCCGCCATTTCGGCAAGGAATTAACCTTTTGATTGCACCGGGTAGCTTTCACCAACTGCATACCTCGTGGGTTGTCACAGCGAGAGATAACAGTTTCCATGTAACTTCACGTTTTAATTGATCGCGCAGGAACAGACGCACTTTTGCAGCACTTGGATAACACGGCGCGCCAGACCTCTCGGTGAGAAGCCACTGTTGCCGCTAGTTTGATTTTTGTTCGCGTGTTTTCAGTTTCCTTTGCGGATGCTCAAAGTTTCCAGGCTGTTTGTGAAATCAAGCCGGGCATAATCTCACTAACAGACTGTGCGTAATCAACTTGTCGTCACTCCAAAAGGACAGGAGGATGCGATGAAGCAGGTGGTGAGAATAGCTCTGTTATTGTTTTGCAACGAGATAGCAACCCAGCCTGCTAGCCGACGAGCTAACTAGCGGCTACACGTTGAGCCTGCCACCGGTAACGTGAGCCGTGTTATCACCTGACGTCTGTAGACTGTACTTTTGGATAAATGTTTGGACAGTCTAGCCACACCTTACTGAATTAGGTTGTTACATATATTGACTTGGACGTTGGTCGCCGTGTCATCTTTGGAGATACGATGGCACCGCTATTGGGCCGGAAACCTTACCCGCTAGTGAAACCGCTAGCAGAGCCACCAGGCCCGGGAGAAGAGGTCTACATCATCGAGCACAGCAAGGAGGCCTTCAGGAACAAAGAGTATCCTTCACATTATGCCGCTGATGCCCATTGTAGCTACATGGCGCACACAAACCCGTGTGTCTCCAGTCCAAATCACTCTTTTCACCTCGGTTACATTAGACAGGAGTGTAAGTGACTGTCTGATTCATTGTTGTCTCACATTTGACTGTTTGTGGCCCCTCTCCTTTTCAATGGATAACATGCTAGCACTTACAGTTCCTAGCTAAAGTTCAATGCATTAGTGTGGCATTAAATAGGGGTTTACTTGACATTTTACTGGGTTCTTACCATAGACTGTATGGTTCTTACGTCATTTGAAGCGTTAACACTATCACGATGTAGGTGTTCTTGCCACGATTATGAGTATATTATGGTGCTGTTGACAGCTAACAGGGTTAGCACATACGCTGCTAATATTGGCATTTGTCACAATAGCCCTTAGCACGCCTTCATAAGCATCGCTCCAGTGCGCACTGAACACTGGCTTCATAGTTTAAGATCCCGGAACACATATTTGCATAAAATGTATTCTAACTGTATCTGTATCCTACAAAGTAAATCACATAGTGCACTTCTATACTAATAGTACTTATTATGTAATTATGATTTATTTGTAAGATGCACACAACATTATGATTGCTGATGGTAAATAAAGGTGCCCATGCATCTTAATTAGGGTACCTTTTTATTATTCAAATGATTGGTAGAATCGTATGGTTTTAGACCTGAACAAGGAAAATAAATTTTGTTTTGTATTGTACCTTAACTAAAATACTTTCAGGGAATATGAAGCACGTCTAGAGCGATATAATGAGCGCATCTGGACTTGCAAAAGCACGGGAAGCTCCCAGTTAACACACAAAGAAGCATGGGAGGAGGAGCAGGAGGTCACTGAACTGTGAGTAACACTGTACAGTACACCCTTTTAATTATTCAGATGGCTCACATTTAAATGTCTGTTGATGTGTACATTTGTACGCTTATGCAGAGAAATATTGCTGTTTGTATTGTTTACATTGTTTTGATTGGAATATTTGGCTCTATAGTCCTGCCACTGTTTATATACAAACAACTTGATCATTATATAAGTTTTTAAGTATAGGCATTTTAAATTTTGTCATCTTGATCTTAACAGAGGTTTTCATGGCCTTCTGGCCTCTCTGACAACTGTAATTAAAATTATAAAACTAACCTTGTAATTGGTTATGGGACCTCTAGTGGTCACTGTCGGTCTGCTGATGTAACTTCTTATGTAATGTATATCTACTTGCTATATTTTTGTTTGAGAAATGTCTCTCAGGCACCAACACTCTAGTCTAGACTATTATTACATTTCACACAACAGTAAATTTTTGTAAAGATCACCTTTATTTCCAGGTTGCAGGAAGAATATCCCAGTTGGTTTGAGAAACCAATCTTGGAGATGGTCCACCACAACACTGTCTCTTTGGACAAGCTGGTTGAAATGGCATGGATGGAAATTCTGACCAAGTATGCTGTTGGTGAAGAGTGTGACTTCCTGGTAAGCTTTCTAATTTGAATCAAATGCTTGAGACAACATTTTCTATGCCTTGAGCCATTATATGTTGATCAGCATTTTGTCAAACAATCTATGCCTCAAAGTAGCAGTCATTTTGGCATACTTTTTTCAGGTGGGAAAAGACAAAAATTTGAGAGTGAACATAATAAAGATTCACCCTTTAGAGAATCCAGAAGGGGAAATGGGTGATAAAAAGCTTGAGGGTGCCTGTGACTCTCCATCAAGTGACAAGGAGAATGCCAGTCAGGAGAATCAGAGGAAAGAGCCTCCTTCACGAGAAGAGGAGATTCGGAGAGAGAGCTTGAGTATGTATTTTGTTGGGAGCTTGATACAGTATAGGCAGTATTGTGTGTATTTGTCATTTTATTATAACAAGTTCCATTTGCTGTTAGGTGATAGGGCTCGCCGGTCACCAAGAAAAGTTCAAACTGCAGTCAAAGAAGAAAGGAAGAGATGGGTAATGCCCAAATTTCTTCCTCACAAATATGACGTGAAGTTAATCAACGAGGACAAGGTTTGTTGTTTTGGTTGTCTTTTAAAATATAGTATATCATATCTGAATTTTTTTTTCAAATCTACATAGTTTTTACCAGTTTTTATTAGTTACCTCCGCCAAGGAGGTTATGTTTTTGCTGGTGTTTGTCTGTTTGTTTGTTTGTTTGTCTGTTAGCAACATAACTCAAAAAGTTATGGACCGATTTTGATGAAATTTTCAGGATTTGTTGGAAATGTGAAAAGGAAGAAGTGATTTCATTTTGGGGGTGATCCGGAAGAAATCCTGGATTTTGGATCACTTTCAAATTTTAGTTAACATTGTGGTAAATGGGGCCAAAAATTTTGTTTCTCAATATCTCGGTTAATTATTGACCAAACCCCATGAAATTTGACTCAGGGATGGACAATGGGATCCTCTTTCATATTCCAAAGGCTGATCCGGATCTGATCCAGAAGACTGATTTTATCGCAATTTATATAAAAAATGGGGGTAGTCCTTGGCGGAGGCCTGTGCTCTCTGAGTGCTTTTCTAGTTTTTTATATTTTTAAGCGTTTGTCAATGTACGAACCATGTTTGTTGCAGGTGATCAGTGATGTTCCAGCTGACAGTCTTTTTAGAACCGAGCGCCCACCAACCAAAGAGATAATCCGCTATTTCATCAGGCACCATTCTCTGAGGTTGGGCACAAGTGACAGCGCCCCTTGGGTTGTTGAGGATGAAATGGTGAAAAAGTTTAACCTCCCAAGTAAATTCAGTGATTTTCTTCTTGATCCACAAAAGGTAAATTTTCTAGTTTTTGTCGCTCTTCCTTTTATATGGATGATCACACCTAACGTAGGTGTGATTTATAGTTCTTAGCAGAGAATTCATCAGCAAAGAGAAAAAGCTTGTCATCTGCCGAAGGAAAGCCAAGCAAAAAGTTGAAGACACCCACTACACCAGGAGACGATTCAGCAAATGAGAAGAAAAAGAAAAAAACGCCTCTCAGCCCCACAATTTTAGGCCATATGCAGGTTGGTGATTATAGTGCATATTTCAGTCCTTTCATTCCATAAATAAATTAAAATTTTTAACTGCTTTTTAATTTTTTTTTTAGAAAATAAAAATGAATGGCTCTCCACTTAAGGTTAAAAACTCAGGTACTCCTAAAAAAGAAGGAAAAGGCTCAACTTCGTCTACTCCAAAATCAGGGAAAAAAACTGAAAAGAAAGATGGAAAGAAATCTGGAAAAAATGTCCTTAAGGTCTCCAAGAAGGATGGTAAAGCAGGACCAAAAACATCAAAGATGAAGCAGATGACACTGCTGCATCTTGCCAAAAGCACACCTGCTGGAAGTCCAAAGAAAAGACCACGAAGCTCTGTCACTGCGAGTCCCAAACTTGGCAGGCCCTTACACCCTGTGGCTCTCCGTCTCGTGAGGTACTATAAGGAACACAAGGGTAAAGAGGACAAAAAACACTTCCTTTCTACACTCATTAGTATGGCTGCCAAAACATTGTCTGAAGAAGAACGCAATCGTCTGCCCGAGGAGCTTAAAGCTTTGGTGCAGAAACGCTGGGATCTGTTGGAGCAAAAGAGACGTTGGGCTGCCATGACCGATGAGGAGAAGAAGGAAGAATTGAAGAGGAGACGACAAGAACTTAATGAAAAGATGCGAGAGAAGGCCAAGGAGAGGCGTGAGAAAGAGTCCCGTAGATTCGAGGACCAGGAGATCACTGATGGCAAAGCGCTCCCTGTATTTAAACTTGTAGACATGCCAGAAGGATTACCAAATGCTCTCTTTGGTCAGATTGCAATGGTGGTGGACTTTCTCAGTTGTTACGCAGGGCTTCTAATGCCGGACGACCAGTATCCCATAACCTCTGTAGCCCTGATGGAAGCTCTGGCAGGGGACACTTCAGGATTTCTTTACCTGAATCGTGTGCTGGTGGTTCTTCTGCAGACTCTTCTTCAGGACGAACTGGCAGAAGGCTACAGTGAGCTGGACATGCCCTTGTCAGAAATCCCCCTCACCATGCACTCGGCATCAGAATTGGCCCGGCTGTGCCTGCGACCGTCTGATACTCATGGAGAAGAGAGCAACCAGGGTTCTGATGATTCTGCCACTATGTCAGGCTTCGATGATGTGGTGAGCAGTGAGTTTTTAGAAAAGCTTGAGACAGTAGAAGTGTTTGAACTCAGCCCAGAGGAGAAAGTCAACCTCCTTGTAGGGCTGTGTCATCGCATCCTTATGACCTACTCAGTAGAGGACCATGTAGACTCAATGCAACAACGAGCGGCAGAATTGTGGAAGGAACGCCTGGCCATGCTCAAACAGGCCAATGATCAAAAGAAAGCTGAGAAACAAAAGCGCAAGGAGTTGGATGATAAAGGTTTGTGATCACACATGTAATGATGGCAATTCATTTGAAGAATGTAACAAAATAATAGTTTTTTTTTTTTTTTTTAATTTAGGTAAAGAAGATGGAGGGACGGGAAAAACAGATAAGAAAAAAGAAGGTGCTAGCAAGACTGATCGCAAAAGTGATGTAAAAGTGGAGCCCCAACCAGAGGATCTGATCAGTTTAGTGAAGAGCAGACGGCTGATGGCTGCACAGGCCAAGAAGGAAAAAGAAGAAATGGATCGTCAGAATAAAGGTAAGAGGTCATTTTGAGTATAATATTATAATATTGTGCAAAAGTAGCTTCAATGTGAAATTTTAACTTTTTTAGAGCGAATGGAGAAGGAAGCAGAAGAGGAACGGGTGCGCAAACAAAGGGCTGCATTGGAGAAGGCCTTCCAAGAAGGCATTACCAAAGCCAAACTTGTATTGCGTAGAGCACCTCTTGGTACAGACAGAAATCACAACAGGTTTGTTCTGTTACAAAATGTCCATTTCTTATCTACATGATGAAAGAAGCTTTATTTTAAATTGGTTTGGTCTTTTTCTTTGTTCAGATACTGGCTGTTCTCTGATGTAGTACCTGGTCTGTACATTGAAAAGGGTTGGGTGAACGACAGCATTGACTACAACTTCACACCTCCACCTGAAGAAAAAACCCCAGCAGAGTCTGAAACGGAAGGCAAGGACGATACTGGCTCTGATCAACCCAAGGATTCACAAGGTATACTTCATTATAGGCGTAGGGTACCACAGTAGTTTGAATTAAATTTTTTTTTTTTGTGTGTTTACCTGTGAGTTGGTTATGAACCATTTCCTTGCATTTACAGCAGATGAAAAGGATGATAGCAGCATAGATGGTGCTGTTACTGAAACTGGCCTGCAGGGGGCAGCACCTGTTGCAGAAGTCTGTTTGGAAACAACCTTTCCAAAGCAAGGGCAAAACCTATGGTAGGGGTCCAGCCTACTTTGTTTTAAGTGGTGTTTTTTGTGTTCATATTACTAATATTTTGTCTGTACAGGTTTATATGTGACAGCCCTGCTGAACTTGAAGAGCTGATGGACTGTCTTCATCCTCAAGGTGTAAGGGAGAGTGCACTGAAAGCAAAAATTCAAAAGAGGTGAATACATTTTTTATTTTTTTAAAGTAATTTCAAATGGGAATATGCAACTTATACCTACTTACATTGGTCATTTCCTGTAACAGTTACCAGGATATCCTCCACTCCATCTATCTGACACGCAAAGGAAAGACTGGCCTCCGGACCTGTGATGGCCATGAAGAGCTGCTCAAGTACCTGCGCAGTGACATCCTGGAGGTAGCCTCACGACTTCAGAAGGGAGGCCTTGGATACATGGAAGATAATGTTGATATTGAAGAACAGGTAATTCAGCTTGTTTAGAATTACAGAAGTCCATACAGTTGTACATTACATGGTCAATGATCAATGAAAATTCTCTCTTGGGTACAGTTGGAAAAGATTGAACACCTCAAAGACTTTGGAGAGCTGATCATTACTATTCAGTCATGTGTCATCAAGAAGTTCCTCCAGGGTTTCATGGCCCCCAAACAGAAAAAGAAGAAAAAGCAAGATACTGAAGAAAACAGTAGCAAGGTAGAAGAAGTAAATGAAGAGAAGAAACTGGCTGAGGAGGCGAGGGTAAGGGCCAAAACACAATGAAATACAGGACAAATGCCTATTGATTTCTCCTTTTCACTGTACTTCTCTTTTTTGCTTTAAGGTGGCTTCTGCGGTTGAAAAATGGAAAACTGCCATCCGAGAGGCTCAGACCTTCTCCAGGATGCACGTGCTGCTGGGAATGTTGGATTCTTGTATCAAGTGGGACATGTCCGCTGAGAATGCTCGCTGCAAAGTCTGCCGCAGGAAAGGTAAATCTACCCAGATTTGACACATATGAGTAAAGGACAAGCTCATGACATTATAACTATTCATATTTCATATGTATTTATGTGCAGTAGTAAGTGAAGAGCAGTTCCCTTTCCCAATCAGTCTTTTGCCTTTTTATTCAGCGCACAAACAAAGCAAGTCTGTGGTGAAGCTGATGGAGATTCATGTCAAGCATAGTACAGGACAGTCTAATAGTGTCAGGCAGGTCATCATTCAGCAGCATCGTCAGAAAGCACCAGGTGAAGCAGTAAGATGCCAGTCAAATTCACAGCTGTTTGTTAGCATTAGCATTTATAGGAAAGCAATCCTAAAATGAAATCAGCACTGTAGTTTGCACTTTTTTGACACTAATATCTCCTGCTCTTCTCCAGGTGATGATGAGAAACTCATTCTCTGTGATGAGTGCAACAAGGCCTTCCATCTGTTCTGCTTGCGGCCAGCATTGTATCGTATTCCTGTTGGGGAGTGGCTGTGCCCGGCTTGCCAACCCACAGTAGCTCCCAGACGTGGCTCCCGCTCGAGGTATGTGGATCCATTGAAAGTGTGCTGTATTTTGCGTTGCTTGGATATAGTGTCATTGATTCATCACAAGGAAAATTACGTGGACAATGTAGCTCACACATTACAATGTAATAATGAAGAACAAAAAAATACATTTATGAAATTCAACAAAATTAAAGGCAAGATTTGTGTCAAATAATATATTAGTATATGTATAGTAAAAAAACATATATAGATATAAATGTATGATATAAATATAGTAAATATACATATATCTATCTATATTGATAGGGAGATGGATAAAATAAAATGGTTAAGAAAATGTAGTAAAAGGATGAAAACTGTAAATTTGTTGTGGCATAAGGTTGTCTATTACATAAGGGGAGCTGTTGTACAGTTGTCTGGAGTATATAGCCCTGTATCAGTAGTTAGGATTAATGAAATCATACTGTTTTGTTCCAGAAACTATAATGAAGATGGGGAGGACGATGAAGACGAGGAAGATTCTGAAGAGGAGGACTCTGAGGAGGAAGAGGATGATGAGGAGAATGATTACAAGGCCATGGGCCACAGCTGTAAGTGCCTCGAATCAAGTTTGATGCTCTTAGCTGTCGCCCAAAGCAAACAAGGAAAATCACAAAATTTTCTGGCTTCATAAAAGTGGGTTTTGGAATGAGGGGAATGCGGTCTCCCTTTTGTGTGTGTTGTCATGTAGGACATCTTGGGTTTAGTCTTTTTTTTCAAATCCGGGTTTAGTCTTTTTTTTTCAAATCCAGATTCACTCTGGTTTCACTCAAAGTATGTGGCAGGATGATCCCCGCTTTCAGATTAGGGCTCAGCTCGTCGCCTTATTCTTTGTTGCATCTAATCAGTATTGACTTTCTACATACAGGCCTTCTATGGAGAATAGTTCCATGCAGAAAGTATGTTAATCCTGACTTTGTATTTTTATCCCCAGTGCGACCAAGGAAGAAAACTAAACAGTCGTCATCTCGATCTAAAAGTTCAAAAAGTAAGCCTAAGAAGTCGAGTAGTGCCAAGAAAAAATCCGGTCCCTCCAGTCCTGCAGATATTGATGAACTGGTAAGAGTATGATTTATGCCGTGTTATATTTAGTTGATGGTATCTCTCAAACCTTTGACTGTTCTCTTCTCAGGTTCGCCAAAGTTCCCAGACTGGAGCTCGTAGGCAACGCCTGGAGTTGGAGAAATGTGAGGAAATCCTCAAGAAGCTATCAAAGTTCCGTTACAGCTGGCCTTTCAGGTAAATCAACTACATGACAGTTCTGTTATCTACATTTTTTTATACATGTTTAGGGAGTTTAGCTCAGACTCCCAAAATAAGTAGTATAAATATTAGAAATTATTACTTAGAAAACTGATGAAATTACTTACAGATCTAAGGATTAGTTTGACATCCTAAACCTATTTTCCAGGGAGCCTGTGTCGGCAGAAGAGGCTGAGGACTACCTGGATATCATTTCCCAGCCCATGGATTTCCAGACCATGTTAGGAAAGTTCAGTGATGGTGCATACCGCAACACACAGGAGTTTGTGGAGGACGTGAAACTGGTGTTCTCCAATGCTGAGGAGTACAATCAACAGGGCAGCACTGTGCTTTGCTGCCTGACCAAAACGGAGCAGGCCTTCACTGAGCTCCTCCAGAAGCTGCTGCCTGGTGTCAACTACCTCCGCAGGCGCTCTCGCAAACGGGTCACCAAAGCTCCAGAGACATCTGATGAGGAGGAAGAGGAGGAGGAAGAGGAGGCAGAGGAGGAAGAAGAAGAAGAAGAGGAGGAAGAAGACGAAGAGGAAGAAGAACCCCCAAGAAGGAAAATGCAAAATGGAAAGGCCAATGGCAAGAGTAGCCGGGGAGGGAAGAGTAGCCGGGGCAGGAAGCGTGAGGAGTCTGAAAGTGAGGAGGAAGAGGAGGAGGAGGATGACGATGATGACACTAGTAAGAGGAGGAGTGCACGGAACTCTGGGAAGAAGCGGTACAAAGAGCAGGACAGTGATGAAGAGCGGGACTCCCGTAGAACTCGTAAAAGAGCAACTCGTGGAGATGCCAGCAGTGATGAGGAGCGGCCCAACCAGCGACATTCCAAGAGGCTCAGGCGCTAAATTTCAGGGTGATGTTTTTGTTTTCTTGCTTTAAAACTAGTGTCCAGCTCTTGTTCAAAACTAAGAGGAGCTCTCCAGTCCTCCCTGTCACACCAGCAGGACTAATTGTGTTCTTGAATTTGTGTTCATATTTTGAGATAAAAGAAAAATTTATATTTGTAACATGTTTTAATATCAGTGGATTTTTTTTTTTTTTTTTCAACAAAACTTTTAAGATAATGTCCTCAGAGCTCTTAGACACTTTGATATGGATCCATGATCCAGTTGGAAGACTCCTTTAAGTATTTGACCTTTATTTGGAAACATGTAAAATGTAGGGGGACGTGTTAACATTCTGATACACCAGTCCAGCCATTATACCTTATTGGCAGCCAGGTAGCCCAAACAGTAAAACCTCCATCAACTACAGCTCTTTCCATTTGTATGTCACCACAAAGTACTTAAATGTCACTGTTCGTCCTGTGAAGCCACTTTAGTCCCATTATTATCCCTGTAGATTCAAGTAGATTTGTTGTGCTCTACTTTTGCACTCAAATTTTAAATCCAAACTTGAACTTTTATACATTCACAAATTGGGAAGTTTTGTCAGGGCTTGTTGGTGTCATATTACTGTGTTGTATATGTTAAGTTTGAGACAACTCTACATGGAAATGGCCAGCCTCTGCTCTGTAGTGCTAGGTCACTACAAACCTGTACCTCAAAGCACTATTTTTGTCTTCAGTGCATTTACAGTATATTGTGCCAGCAGCTGCAACAATTATGTGCAACATCTGTAAACAGTGTTTAAACACATTTGGTTTGTTAAAATGGGCATTTTTCATATTTTTATGGAACCTATTGTAAAATAAATCACATCTTGATCACATTTTAAACAATGCCAGATTTCAGCAGGGCATGTAAGAAAACTGAGAACGTTGCACATATGAGTTACCATGTTAGTTCCACATATAATACGCTGACCTTAAGGATGCAGTGGACATCTACAGAGATGCCACTAGGTGGTGCTCTGGCTCAACACCGAACAGATGTCTGTAGGTACCCATGTCAATACTGGGACTGACGGAACATCCAATTGTACTTCAGCACTTTAGTCAGAGCTGATTTTAAGTCCAGTGATGTTATAAATCTGCACTATACTCTAGTAGCTCTCTGAAGAGGTCCCTTTGCCCTGTGTCAGTGTGAATTTAGTTTTGTTTTCAGATTTCAATATTGATCATTTATCACTGCTGAGAACAGGTTAATATAACTGCCCCTCTCAAACGTGAGGCCTGTCTGTAAATGCTTTCTTTATTAGTGAAGGAGCTACAAAAGTCTTTTACACCTCCTTTTATATATATTTATAGTCTCTCAAATAGGGGTTGGGCTGGGTCAAATGTTCAGAAATACACAATAAACCTATGGATGAACAATTGTTCTCCTTGGTTATTCTGTGTCAAGCTGATGTCACTGCCATCTGAAAAACTTTGGACAGATCCAACTGATGTCTTTTACTTTGTAATAAAATATCAGTGCTTTTACTGGGTTGTGGCCTGTTTCTCTGAACATACACTAATTATAATAGTATACTTATTAACGATAATTGTGTGACTTATCAAGATGTAAATGAATTGCAGGTGTCTTCAACATATTTCAGACCAAGGTACCCAAGAAGACCAAGGGTTGGATTGGGGCCGTTAATCTGAGTACACCCTTCTTGAAGGTAGTTACTTTTCTGTAGAGTTGTGCTACCTGATTGCCTTCACTGAGATGTTAATGCTTTACGTGAAATGTTCCACAGTATAGCATTAAGATTTGTCTTGCATTTATTCACTTAGTGTTTTTATATCTGAAAAATATCTTGAAAACACATTCTTACTGTGAGTGTCCCATTTTTCCACAGATCTGACATGGGTTGGTAACTTGGGTTGGTGGCGTCACCTGTTTGTCACTGTGGAGATATATATTTATATATATATATATACTGTATGAGTATTGTGGAACATATTAGGTAAAGCAATACAATCTACATGGAGATGAGCAGGTGGGGTACCCTCCACCAAAAACATTACATAGCACTCTAACTTCAGGTAGGGATTCACCACCAGGTTGTGGCGGTGATATAGCGTTGCCTGAAATGTTCCACTTTATAACATTAAATGTATTAGGTATTTTATTGCCCAAATATCATAATCTCTTTTCTGGAAAGTGACAATAGTCAATTATCGCAACAGTGTGAAAATAAAAAATATCACAAACAAGACCAGATTTTAACATGTAAAATATCCCCAAAAATTGTCAATATGTATCAGACAAAGAAGAACTTATATGTCCTTCTCTTTACTTATGTGTTATACTTTTATTGTCATCATGAAAATACACCACCTTGTGCCTATCAGTTCTGTAATATTCCCCAACAAAACACAAGAGTTAAAAAAAATAAATGATAATTTTGTTTATATTTTTGTTTAAACCAACACTTCAAATTATTTCAAAGATGAACTCATATTCAACTTTCTCCACTTTATCCTCACAAACCTCTGCATTATGTATGAAACATTAAAATAAAATACAATGGCATACACATTTTAAAACTTAAGTCTTAGGGGTTTTCCTATCTCATAAAAACAAGTCTGTGCATCCTACACAAGTTAATCACGCAAGCATCACTCCCCTGCAAAGTCAAAGCAATTGGCTGAACAAGCATGTGTGGAGGGGGAAGGTACAGTTAAAATATAGGTAGGAACTATTGTGCTTGGAGATTGGCGTTCAGATTGTAAGTTAGAAGGGGGGACAGGTTGGAGCAGGTTCAACAGCAGGTGCTTTCACTCCATAACAAGCAAACAGAGGCCACATATGCACAGACTAAACTTTGAACTGACTGGGCTGTGTGTGACCTGAGTTTGCATGGGTACCAACACACCCAGCAAATATTTACCCCAGACACAAGTCAGAGCCCAGAGGTAGTCAGGGGAAGAACTTGAAATGTAACGTTTTTTTCATAGATGATTATTTGGTAAATTTTATATTGAAGTGCAACTGGTGAGATGAATCACTATGCTAAAAATCTGTTATAAAAACTAAATACATGAATGCAAGCAGCAGTTCATACACAATTCATACAGGCCTGAGGCAAAATAGCCTCTGTTCAGAATTGGGGCCATTACAGTCAGAGACTCCTACAGTCTATGAAAAATTTAACCAAAAACACAAAATTACTTGATAATAAGACATTATCTTGAAGCCGATCCTTTGTAGCAAAGATGCACTAGGCAAGCTTTCTGGTGGAGGGTGCGCCCCTGCTTGCCTCTGAAGATGTTGCTTTTCCTGGAATGTACCACACTATGGCATTGCAGGTATCTATCTCCAGGTTACTGTGGTGAGGCAACTCTACTCACAGTAAGAAGAAGCATGTTTTTCAAGGAATTATTGAACAAAACATATCTTTAATTGAATAAATGCAAAAAATTATATTTTTAATATTGTTTATATATAAAGCCATAACATCTCCATGGAGACAGGTGGCTGGTGAATCCTAAACCAGAAAAGTTACACGATGCACCTTTAAGAATGACTAAATTTTGACACAGTCCCAGTGACAGATGCAGCATGTCAGCTCTTCTTGAGTATGCAAACTTGTATCATGACATGACATCCAAACAGTCACAAACTCAGCGAATATGAACCATACAAAACAGGACGTGGTGCACAGATTGACATAAGTGACATAATCATTCAGGGAATAGTGGCCTCAAAGCAACTCATGCCCTAAATATTTCTCTCCTTTCTGTTCTATGATTACAAATGCATTATTCACAAAAACAGAGCCTTCTCCCCCACTACTTTTCAGTGATGTACGTCCGTTCCCTTTGATGATATAACCAAAGTAAAATGTGGAAGAAGAGGGGAGCAAAGAAATGGAGGAGTTCAGAGGATGGCTCATCTCCTGGGAGTGCACGGTGCTCATCCCACTGGGGCTTCTGCACGCATCTAAAACAGTCTGATTCTCTTGCATTTACATATCACTCATGTATGATTTCTGACATGCTTGCAGACAGACAGAGCCAGAATCAAGGCACTGTCTAGCTTTCAGTCTAGAGAAGGTATTAAAGGTATAGGAGGCATGCAGCCAAAATAACTGCAGCCAAATAAATATGTGTAATTGATTAATTTACTCACAGATTATGATATGACAGCCATACCATCTGGATAAAAGCACTTATAGAGAAAGGCAGTCAAACTAGCAGATGAAATAAATGGGTTGAGAGCTTTATTCTATCATCTTCAGATTTCATGCTGCATTCAACCAACCTAATTATGCAAGAAACATGTTCTATATTCACCCAACCAGTAGCCTAAATATAGCCTATATCCTATATACAGAAGTTTAGTGAGTACAGTAGTTCCCTGTGATGGTCTGCTCGTCTTCAAGTGGACCAGTCGAGGCAATTTATTCATGTTTCCTCCAGAACGGTGCCTCCTGATGTGCAGTGTTCAGGCTTGAGGTGCCAAAGCAGGAGACGGGTCCTCCCTGTCTGAGCAGAGGAAAGTCTGAGAACACGTCTTCTTTATCTGGTTGTAGCCCCAGATGTATCTATTTGTTTTTTTCTTGTAATTTAGATTTTCTGCTTAATTAGTTTGCCCTCTGACTTATTTTGCCCAATTAACACTTTATTAACGCAAGGGCTACATTTACTTTCTTTTACAAAACTAAAGCATGAAGGACCTTGGTATTCTTAACTAGGTTAGTTAGCACTGTCCAGACAAGCTAATACACGCTGAGCAGCAGCAGGTGCTTTCACTCCATCAGAAGAGTTTCGTTGGTCGCTTTATCTTGGACCATGAGCGCGGCCGTAGACACGGGGACCACAGACACGGGGACCACAGACACGGGGACCACAGACACGGGGACCACAGACACAGGGACCACAGACACGGGGACCACAGACACAGGGACCACAGACACAGGACACACGGGACATGGATGGAGCACGGCTACAGACAAGGCCAGATCAGACCACTGATAAAGCGCCATCCTAATGCTAACGTAAGTAGTAATAAGTATTTTTATTTTTTTTACCTTTCCTAAACATATTAAATTATATTCACTTTTAAAATGCAGCGACATTTTAGCTAACTGCAATTAGCAAATCGAAACTTAGAAATTTATTGAAACTTACTCTTTCTGTTTATTGTCTTCTTCTAGGCTTATTTTAGGCAAAGGTGGACAAAATATGTTAGCCTACATGAAATGCCCATCTCATCTTGTTGTTAACTGGTAAAGGAAAACGTAACTATGACCACTGACTTTATAAATGGACATATATCCCACTAGTTGCTGCGATCCTAATAGGAAGTGAGCATGGGGACGCTTCCGGCTCCATCGACTCTGGTCCAGTTGATGTTACATTTAAAACTGTCACGTCTCTCTGTAACTGCTGCAGTGAGCCTCATCATTTTGGTCTTACAATGTTTGTATTAACCCACTCTACATGATCCTGATTATTTATTTCATTATTTTGGTTGTAAATAAATTCCTATAACAATGGAACTTAGCCCTGCAACCCGGCCCCGGATAAACAGAAAAAAATGAATGGATGGATATGGATATTGGGTCCAAATTTGCTCCTATAACTGCTAACCTTGTCAGCTTCATTTGACTGGAGCCAAACACTATGGGGGAAGTCACACTCCCTTAAACCACTTCCTTATGACCAAGACACCGGTCCATCAGTTTCACCTGCCATGTAGCCACCTGTGTACGGTTCCCTTGCGTTGACAAGAATGGTTTTCCATCTATACATGAGCACAAAATAGTAGTAGGAGTAGGAGTATAAATTAGTTATGCAACATTTTAGAACAAAATCCTGAAAATCCCCCTATTAAAGAAACTATACAATGCCTTTTTCCTCCAAATTAAAGTTACACGATGGCCAGGCTGCTATCAGGGTTCATGTTTCTCTAGTGTGCATATGCCTAGTGACTAGTGAGGGGGATGCCAGCAATAAATAGATTAAAGGGCTGCCCCTATATCCACCCCTGAATCGCATCACCCTGCAGCTGTTCAGCCTGACTCAAGGAAAGGTTTTCAGTTTAATAAGAAACTGGGGGTGTAGAATGCTGTACAATGTTCATGGGGGTGTGCATGTTTCAGTGCCACCAATGGAGATGTTTATTTCTATTTGGGCATATGTAAATGTATGTGGTTGACCCTCATGTGCGCATGTGTCAAGGTGTGTTTTACCTACTACAGTGTGCGTGAGTCCTAATGGGAAGCAGTCGCTGGGCTGCTGACGGCTCCATAAAGGAGTCTTTGAATGCCTAGGCTCTGGTAAATTCATAGCAGATGTGAGGGAAAGAATATCCTCCCAGGTTGAGTGGCCCTTCACTGTGAACGGCGACAGGAGCCCAATCCAGGGGAGGCAGAGGGACGGCAGACAGGAGCCAGGACACACACACACACATTGGGTGTACTCCAATCGACTATAGGGCAGATTTTTCCACAGATTTTATTTTTTAAAGAATCATGTATCATGCTTTT